GCAGGCTCGTCCCGAGCCTTTGCTGCAGTCCGCTGGCTACGCCGGAGTGTCCCCTGTCGCGTGAAACGGAGCATCCACCGTTCGTCGCCGATGTTAAGGCGGTATCGGCGGGCGACATGCACCGCGAAGAACGGGATGGCCGCCGTTCGTCCGGGTGAATATTCCACGAGTACCGGCTGCGGTGGCTGCGGACCTGTGAGCCGCAGTGGTGGTGAGGCGCGGCTTGGTCCTGGTGGCGGACTCTGCTGCTTCGCGGTTGGTTTGGCGGAAGTTNCCCCCCTCCTCTGGCAGGCTCGTCCCGAGCCTTTGCTGCAGTCCGCTGGCTACGCCGGAGTGTCCCCTGTCGCGTGAAACGGAGCATCCACCGTTCGTCGCCGATGTTAAGGCGGTATCGGCGGGCGACATGCACCGCGAAGAACGGGATGGCCGCCGTTCGTCCGGGTGAATATTCCACGAGTACCGGCTGCGGTGGCTGCGGACCTGTGAGCCGCAGTGGTGGTGAGGCGCGGCTTGGTCCTGGTGGCGGACTCTGCTGCTTCGCGGTTGGTTTGGCGGAAGTTGCCGTGGAAGGCCGGTTCCTCGCAGCTGGTGTACGCTGCTTCGGTCGGCTCGGCGGAATGGGCTGCGTCAGCCAGGCTGCCTTCCTCCGGTTAGTGATGTCGGAGCGCTGGATCCGGGTCCCGACGGCTGGAACCGGTGGTCTGCTCGGTCGTGGCGGCTGCGGTGGCTCGTCCTCCTCGGAAAGGCAAAGATCGCTCCATAATTGGCGCGCTTGCTGCTCTTTGCGATCGGCCATAGTCGGTGCAAAGTGCTTGAGATCTCTCTGGTGGCCCGCTTATATCGGTGCTAGCGTCGGTTCTTCTTCCCCTTCCGAGTCGCAGGTTTTCGACTCCGGATTGTTTACAAGCTTGATGTCCTGTACATGTATGTGCGGAACCACACGTCCGCGGTGATCCCTCAGATCAACTATGACGGGCGAAACAACACGGAAGATAGTAAACGGGCCGCTATAACGGGGTGCCAATTTAGCATTAAACGCGCGAGCTTTATCGGAAAGCACGTGGTTACGCTTCCACACGCGTTCTCCCACCCGGGGTTTCCATTGCCGCCGACGTAAATTATAATATCGCTCTTGCTTCTGGAAGGCGCGCGCGAGGTTGATACGCACCAGCTCGAAAGCATTCTCGAGGTGCTTTCGATGTTCCTCCGGCGGTGGGGGCGCGGTACCAGGACGCTGGTTGTCGGATGGAGTGCGCAACTCTCGTCCGTGATTGAGATACGCCGGGGTGTAACCCGTTGATTCCTGCGTGGCGGTGTTGAACGCAAATTGTATGGCGGGAATCGCTTCATCCCACTTGCGTTGGTTCTTCCCGGTGTATTGCGCAATCATCGTCTTGATTGTGCGGTTGGCGCGTTCGACGGGGTTGCACTGCGGCGTATAGACGGGTGCGGTGCGATGCTGGATGTTAAATGCTCGCAACAGGGCGGTCAGCTGTTGCGACTTGAATTGTCTCCCGTTATCGGTCACGATGACCTCCGGACAGCCGTGACGGTAGATAACCCGTTGGGTGAGCTGGGTAATTACGGCTGGCGCGGTGGCCCGACGGAGAGGGCAGAGTTCGATCCATTTAGAGAAACGGTCCTGGATCGTTAGTAACCACGTATGCCCGCTGGCGGATCGAGGCAGTGGGCCGACGAAGTCGATCGCGACGTGTTGCCAGGGGGCCTTGACAGCGGTGGCCCGCATGAGGCCGATCGGTCGGCGCTGGACGGCTTTGTGCGCGAGGCAACTCGGGCATACGCGTACGTAACGGGCGATATCCCGGAACATGCCGGGCCAATAATACCTTCTGGCGACGCGGCTAATCGTCTTTGCGATCCCTAGGTGTCCCGCGGTTGGGTCGTCATGGAGTTGCTGCAGGATTTGATTCCGTTGGTCGCGTGGAACGCATTCTTTCCATTGTTCGTCGGCGGGGGTGTCCTGGAAATCAAGCTCGTGAAGGAGGTGTCGATACACCCGCCCCTGTTGTATTGTGTAATCTGGCCACGCGGTCGGATCGGTTCGAATGCCTTTGTGGAGTG